AATAGAATTAAACCATAAAACAAAAGAAATAAGAGAGGTCAAGAAATAAAATAACTCATCAATTTTTCTAACTTCCATAAATCACTAACCATAGGTAATGAATTTTTTAATAAAAATAGAAATACACATATATATAATATAAAACATTCCTAAACCTTAATCAGCAAAGACTCTAATATTTGCATGAAATCTAACACAGGAACATTGTAAATAAGAGAAATAATTTTGCAGAGGTTCTAATTTGAAACTGATATCATGGGTTCACATAGGTTGACTTAGATTTCAAAGAACAGAATTGAACTTTAAATTAGTGAGAATAGCTTAAGCTAATCACGTAAATGGTCTTATTATAGGATAGACTAAAAATTGTATGAGTTATGATGATGTATGAGTTGTATCGTATGATGTCGATGTTAGTATATGATGATGTATGATCCATGATGATGTATGATTCATGATGATGTATGAGCGGTGTCGTATGATGTCGAATACTAGTATATGATGATGTGCGTAATATATACATATTTCGATAGACTTGATATGCTTGATGCAATTTGTGGCAATATATTAAGTATGATGATTGCATGATGTTTGTCTTAATATGACTGTTTTCCATATTGAGCATGTTGTATGATGATGAGTGTCATAATGCATCATGTCGATATACCGACATAGGACACAACTCTAAGAGCATGAAAATGATATAATATAAATATCTACGACATGTGTTACCTAGAGTAACAAGAGATGAGAATAGAGGGTTGTATCAGAAGAGACGTTATGATGGGATTTAGAGGGACCTCACGCATATTGTATGTTCATAAGCATAGGGCTACTTCCCCTAGAGATGATGAGTGCAGATGCGCACAGTATGACGAGCAAGGTGTTCATGAGGGGCATGACACTACGGGGTTTCGCCGACCTCCGAACATCACTATAGATTAATGCTTGACTGGAGAGTCCAAGGGGTGTGCGAGTGCCCTAAAGATTCACACTTGCATGTGTAGGTCGTGTGTAGAAAAGTACTAATTGGCTGCTTTATCTCTAACTCTAGGATGTAGATATGGTTTAGCGTGCGCTGAACTTGCGTGAGTAGTCGTCATTGATCATCACAGATCTTGAGTAGCTCATGCTCGATGGAAATGTAGCAGTCGACCTTATCGATTTGACCCAGACTCACAAGGTTAGCCTTAAGCCTCGGGATGAAGTAGACGTCGGTCAGCTTGCAGTGCTCGCCACCCTTGTCGACGAACAAGATGGTGTCGTGCCCTTTGATCTCGATGATGGAGTCATCGCCGAACTTCACCGTCCCGCGAATCTCCGAGTCAAGCTCAAAGAATGCAGACCTGGCCCCGGTCATATGGTTTGTTGCCCTTGTGTTGAGAACCCATCGCCAGTGCTCGTGCTGCTCCCCTCTCTCGCCGATCTGAGCAAACACTCCCTCCTCCTTCAACTGAATCAGCTCCCCATCCGATGCCTTTGCTACGCCCAGCTGTAGCTCTTCTTTGGGACCTATCGAACCTTCATCTACAAGGCTCATCGAAGCAGCTACGCCATTGATTCCTTTCGTGGATTTGGATTTGGAATTGGGGACGTCGGATAAGACCAATGCGCTCACCATGAAAAGAGTTAGCCCTTCCTTCTCGGATTGGGCCACATGGGCCTTCTCCTTCTTCCTGAACTTGCTCCATCAATTCTTGCTCAGGTAGCCTTTCTTCCTGCAGTTCGAGCACCGGATTGGCCTGCGCTATTAGCTGACTCCTTCTTCTGCTCCCCTTCTTTCTCGCGCGCGCGCATGCGAGATTTCCACTACTTCTTGCCGCCTTTTCTGCCGGAGGACCCGTTGCTCTCGCTGAAGTTGTCGCAAAGCTTCAGGCGTGCAAGTGTTCACAACTCTGCAAATGTTCACAACTTCATAAGAATAGGCATTGGAACATCAATTGGATGAAGACATGCTTCATTTATGTCCTTCCATGCATTAACCACTTGTTTATGAAGTTCAACACAAGCTTATTCCTCTGAACAACCATATTGATGCATTTTACTTTAAAAAATTTAATTTTGTTTGTACTGCTTTCCAAGGATAGAAAACCATATATACCTTGTGGGAAATGAAGTCATCCATGAGTCGAGCAATTATTATTGCAGCTTTAATAACTTTAGGTCTTCTAGAAAGCCATTCAATTACCTCATTCGTTATTATGTCACCCATGCCTATGAAATGTTTACAATCAAGGAATATCCTGAGCTATGCAATACCCATTCTCTGTACTCTTTCAATTTTGGTTTGTAATTTTTGTTTAACCATTTAGCTTCTTCAAAGTAGGATCTAGCTAGCTTTTTTATCTGTAAATATAAACCAAAATGATAACTCTTATTTATATGTATAAAACAGAAGGAAAGAAGATAGAGGAGGGAGACAAAGAAAGCTTACTTCTTCTTTGGTGGTATGAATGTGAACGAACTTTCATCCTTACCTATTTCATTGCTGATTTCTTTATAAAGATTTAACATTGCTATATATAAAAGTTTCATGTACTTCGGGAGTATATCAACTATGCTTCTATTCCATTTGAAAATTCAAAAACATTATTGTTCATATGATTCTCGTATATAAATTTTGAAAGAAAAAAGTGTTTTGTATTACTCTTCTCTCCAAATTTGAAATTAATAGTATTAAAATTCTATCCAAATTTGAAATATTAAAAAGACAAAATTTCAAAAATATTTTCTTCTATTTCTCAACTTTAGAAATTTGTATGGTATATTTAAAGGGTATGCTATATGTAAACAATAAATTTCTTAGTTATCTATAGGAGTGAATTCAAATGACCTTTGAATTGCTCGAGTGAAAAATTGGAGTTCTTCAAATGTTTCATATGCATCATACGTCTCATCTAAAATTGAAGAAATAGCTATTATTTTAGTTAATATTTTTCTTTCGACATTAAACTGCAGTTCAAAGTATGCACTCAATGTCACAAACTAGCACTCAACAATTCTATCTCTTGCATCAGAGAAATTTGTTTGAATATTCAAATCTTTCTACCACCTACAAAATATAAAATATGTAAATAAGAAGAAATAACATATAATTTAAAATAAATAGTAGGAATGAACCTAAAAATGTAACTTTATAGGTTAAATATGAAATTGCATACACAAATAAATATAAACATGGTGAGTTCCTTCCCCTCATTTTGATGAAGTTTATGTTGAAATTCAGTTTTGAAAAAGTAAGCAAAGTTTGAGAATGGAAAGGACCTTATTAATACATTGATATGTACTCTCTTGCCTTTAATCTTGGAAGGGCTTTTCTTAGTGGCTATTTCAAAGCACGGCCAACTTGAGCAACAAATTTGGGGTTGAGTCTTCTCCGTGCACCCTCATATGTGAAATGACGATTATTTCGATTAATATTTTTCTTTCGGCATTGAACTGCAGTTCAAAGTATACATCCAGTCTAATACACTACTTATTTTTATTTCCTTACCGGACAAGATTCATGTTTTTCATTAAAAAAAGACGAAAAAGAAAGCTACGTAGAATAATTATATATAGAAAAACAACCAATTTAGAGACAATTCTTCAATGTTCTACAAAGTTATCACCATGCAATTTTAATTCTTTCATGACCTACTATATTATCACTTACTAATTATCCAGTGGGGTAAAATTCACCGATCGCCTATCAAATTGTCACCTAAAAAAAATAAACGACAAGTCTAAGTCAACCATGGCCTACCAAATTGCTACCAATTTGTCACATTTAAAACTATTAATTAAAATGTGGCTAAAAAGAATTATGCATTACTACTCTTTTTTTTTTTATAATTATTAAAAAATTTTGTTTTTAATTCTTAAAATAAAACTCATAAATCACTATTTTGGCTTATTGATTTGTTTGTCTTATCCTCTATTAACCCATATTTTCATAATTTTAAAAAAAAAAAAAAATTTATAATCTTTTTTTTTTTTTTTTTTTTTTTAAATTGGACTAAAAAGTTGAATTATTAGAAGTTTAAATTATTTTATACAAAAATAGTGAGTCAATTCCTCGAGTAGAATTCTAATTTATGATGTTGGACTCTTTAGATAGAATTAAATTTTAGAAAGCAGCGTTAAGCTAGCATTAAAGGGTCGTAGTAGGTTCGACCTAGGTCAACTAAGTAACCCTACCATCATTTGGTTATAATTGTGTGCTGAATGATGACACGTGACTGTGGCTTTGCATGTGTCATATGTCCATATATGCAAACTGTTATGAAATGATATGTATATGAGATGTTAAGTGAATGTTATATTGTATGTAATAAATTGATATGTTTATGCTATAATATGTTGAAGACATGCTCAAGTTATGTTATTTGACTGTTATGATAAATGATATGTATGATATGTACATGATGTGAACGGTTATGTGCAAGGACATGACAATATTATGATATGACATATGTGTAAGATAAATGATATATGATATGATTGACAAACAAAATTACGAATTGACATGAAATACAGCACCGATACATGCATAGAAGATATGATAAAAATGATATGATATGAAGGAAGACGCTAGCAGGGGGTTGTATATGATAATTAAAATGAAAAAATGTTAGAATCTCATGCATTATTATGTGTTCATGCATCGGGGTACCCCTTCTTCTTCGCGATAATACGGACGCGTACGTTACGAGAGGCAGGAAAACAATCCTTATGTTCTGCATATGAGTATATGGATATTTTTTTGACATAGTGGTCATAATAGATGTATTTTGAATTTTTTTTAAATTGAAAGGTATTAATAAAACTTGTTTAACGAAATTCCGTCCAAAACCTACTTTTTTTTCTTTAACCTAAATATATTAATGGAATTTTTAAAAATTAAAAAAAAATAAGACAAATTAAAAAAATTTAGGAGTATTATTAGTTAAAATAAACAATAATTAAAAAAATATATATTATTATTGTATGAATTTCAAGTTCAAAGCAGGTTAAGTTGATCAGCTTGACGGCTTGACCACAAATGGCGTGTTCCGTTTCAAACAAAAACGATGGCGTTGGCGACCGCCGGTCCCCATCTCAGTGCTTCTGAATTCTAATGTTTCCTTTTGCATTTTCTTTCTAAAATTGTTCCGAATATGGAGCTGTAAGTACAGATTGTATCGCTGCACTTTGATTACTTTTCTTTTTTTTTGTTTTTTCTTTCTCTTGTTCACATTCTTCGAATCTCCAGGAAACAATACCTTCCATATTTTCATATTCATCTCGCTTCTCTGTTAACTCTTCATTTCAGTTTCCGTTTTTGTTGTAGAATGACCCCCGCCGTGCCGATTTTGGATTTTAATGATCGTCTTTTCGCTAGGTACACTTGAATTTAAATCCTGCTGTGGCATAGAATGTTTCTTCATCTCTTTGTTTCATTTACTTGTCGATTATGCCTCAACTGCCGTGGTTTTTGTGTTTATAATCTGATGCTGTGGGGAGTCTTCTGCTTCATATGGATTCTGCGGTAGGTTTTTGAATGAACAGAGTAAAATTGCTAGGGAGTAGGGGAAGGAGAATTGAATGAAGTTTACTTACACGAATGCTTGCTTTTGGCTTTATTTCGTGTTATTAGAACTATCGTGTTGTTGATCCTTTACGAGTCCGATTATGAGTCTGATTTTCGTAGTGTTTATGAGAGACTATAGCAGCGTAGGCTACAGTAAAGCTCTAAATGATTTGCTGGATTTTGGTAACGTTATTCTTGAGGCGATTTGTCGCATCAGACTAAAAAGTTTGCTAATGTTTACTGGTAGAGAATAGGGTTCGATTATTCTTAGCTGTAGAAAAAGCTTAGTCAAATTTGAATAGTATATAGTTATTTGTCCAGCGTCCTGATCCATATACGCTAAATTTATTTGTAATGCTTGCTTTCGGCTTTATTTTGTGTTATTAGAACTATCGTGTTCTCAGATCCTTTATGAGTCTGATTTTTGTAGTGTTAATGAGAGGCTATAGCAGGGTAGGCTACAGTAAAATGTTGCTAGATTTTAGTTCTGTTATTCTTGTAAAGACGATTTTCGCATCAGACTGAGGAGTTTGTTAATGTCTACTGGTAGAGAATAGCGATCGATTATTTGGAAAGTATATAGTTATTTGTTCAGCGTCTTGATCCATTTAAGCTAAATTTATTTGCAATGATAATTTTCTGAATATAAATCTCACGAAAGCTAATTTGTAGTGAATAGTTGCCCAGCGTCTTAAACTATTTAAGCTAAATTTATTTGCAAGGGTGATTTTCTGATTATAAATCCCACGAATGGTAATTTTTAGCGAATTAGTTATTTTCCCAGCATCATGATCCATTTAAGCTAAATTTATTTGCAACGGTGATCTTCTGAATATAAATCTCACGAACGCTTATTTGTAGCGATGGAGTTGGATTGGAGGAGTTTTATTGTTTTATGAGTATTTGGCCGCAAGATATCATGCTTATCTAATGTTGATTGGTACCGGGAAGAAAGAAAGTGAGATCTTCTGCTGGAGGGCGAGAGAAAGTCTATATGATATTTACCTGTCTGGCTCCTTTGGGATGTTTTTTTTTTTTTTACATTTTTCTTGAGAATAATACTTGTCTGCTGGAATTTTATCGATTTCTTGCATATTTTTAATCATCTTGTTGACTTCACTAATGGCTGTCGATGGGGAAGAATAAAGAATGGTCCTCTTGATTTTTAACATCATTTGTTATTTATTCCCGTAAAATGTAAATGATGCGTTGAGCAGATTAGTTAAAGGGCTCTAAATCCATTTTGCAGTTGAGGGAGGTTTTGACAGCTGAATAAGAACTTGAGGAGCACCAAAGAGGAGATGAAAGAGGGGTCAACAGGGTTGGCTATTGGAATTTCGATAGGAGTGGTGATTGGAGCTCTTTTGGCGATTCTTGCTCTATTCTGCTTTAGATATCATAGGAAGCGGTTGCAGATTGGTAAAAGCAGTTCCAGGACAGCAGCAAATGTTCCCATTCGAACAAATGGAGCTGATTCTTGTACTATTCTATCAGACTCCGGAGTGGGTCCAGAATCACCAGTGAAGTTCAGCCGAAATGGCATATCCTCATGGCTTGACAGATTCAAGAGAAGCAGTGTGATCTCGGCATCTGGGATGCCTGAATATTCTGTAAAGTCTTCTTGTGCAACTCATCCCTACCATTTAGTGTGTATGAGATCCTGTCATATTTCTATGACGTACATGCCTTGATATTATGATTCAACTGAATAAAATATTCGATGTAGAGAGAAAAAGATGATCCCTATTTTAGTATGTCTTCACTTTCTACCGGTACTCTGGTTGCAGAAACTCTCCCAATACCTTCTTTAGATTTCATGGCTCTCTATCGATTAGTAGTAAAAAAATTTCAATTTCTAAATTTTCTTTTCTTCACCTCCACTTAAGGCTAAGGGCGCTAAGAGACTACTATCGTCTGAGAAAGAAGGAAGATGTAACTGTAATTTGATAGTTGTGATGAAAATGTAATTTAATTTGTTATTAAACGTAGTTTGTGATACGATGCAGGGATCTGCAAAAGGCAACCGGCAATTTTACAAGTGTAATAGGACAAGGGGCATTTGGTTCCGTTTATAAAGCTACTTTGCCATCTGGTGAGACTGTTGCTGTGAAAGTGCTCGCAACCAATTCTAAACAAGGAGAAAAAGAATTCCAGACAGAGGTAAAGATGGTGAATCATTAATTTGGGCTTCATATATAGAATATGTTACAAGATGCACAATTTCATAAAAAGCTTGTTTCCTTCAGCTGTTCCTCAAACTTTAACGAGCAAATATCCATTGCTAAAAAATATGCCTGGTTTGCTACTCCAAGGTTATGTCTTTATAGTTCTTTTTCCCTATTTCCATTGCTCCACTTCCGGACCTAATTTTGATGATTACCTGTTGTCATCAAAGAAGATAAAAAGAGAAAAAATGTAATGAGCAAAGGATGAAACGGTTTTAAACTTACTCTAGAAATCAGATCTTTAATTTAGAGTTCGGAAATAAAATAAAATAATTTCGTATAACATTTAGCTCGACCAATATTCTTGCTGTTTTTTATTTCTTAGAAGCTTTATTCTTTTCCATGTATTTTTCTTCTAATTGACAAACTCACGTATTCTATGTTTACTGTATCAATAACTGTTATTTCCCTGTGGATCATTCAGGTGATGTTATTGGGAAGATTGCATCATAGAAACCTCGTGAATATGGTTGGATACTGTGCTGAAAGAGGCGAACATATGCTTGTGTATGTCTACATGAGTAAAGGCAGCCTAGCTTCTCACTTGTATAGTAAGCTGACTATATTACCTCTTGATCTGTGAAAGGAACAGTTTCAGAGATTGACTATGTAATGCCCCAGATCCACCGCTAGCAGATATTGCCCTCTTTAGGTTTTTCCTTTCGGGCTTCCCCTCAAGGCTTTAAAACGCGTCTGTTAGGGGAAGGTTTCCACACCCTTATAAATGGTGGTTTGTTCTCCTCCCCAACCAATATTGGACATCACAGACTAGAAACTTTCTTTTGTCACTATCAATGAATCTAATTATTGTTGTCATCATCTAATCTCGATGTTCACGTTGATGTATAGTATTAGCTTCTTAAATTTGAAGAGAAAATTATTGTATGGTAATTGTGCACAAGCTCCTTATAATTTCTACAATAGAGAATGACTTTCTTTTGTTTCTGTATAGGTGATCAGAATGGACTACTGAGTTGGTATATGAGAGTTTGTTTAGCTTTAGATGTAGCAAGGGGTTTGGAGTATCTCCATGATGGGGTAATTTTTTTGTATACTCGATAATCAGGCAAATAATCAGCACATTAACGTTTTGAAAATTCGTGCATGGCTGAATGCTATTGATGTTAATGATGCTTCAAATTTTACTTCAGGCAGTTCCTCCAGTAATTCACCGGGATATCAAATCAGCCAACATTTTGTTGGATCAGTCCATGAGAGCAAGGGTATGCCCTTTCTGCTTGTTTCAAGTGTCTCTGCAATAAGACTCGGAAGGGAACTTGTTATTGTTTTCATCTAAATTCTGTTGCTTTAATGTAGATCAAGGATTTTCCAAGACAATGTTTTATAAATAATCAAGTTCGCTTGCATCCGAGTTAATATAATGATAAGCAGGTTGCTGATTTTGGGCTTTCAAGAGAAGAGATGGTAGACAGTCGAGCAGCTAACATCAGAGGAACTTTTGGATATCTCGATCCTGAATACGTATCTTCGAGGGCTTTCAACGAGAAAAGCGATGTTTATAGCTTCGGAGTATTACTTTTTGAGATTATAGCTGGCAGAAATCCTCAACAGGGCCTTATGGAATATCTTGAGCTTGTAAGATATCTCTCTCACTCTCTCTCTCTCTCTCTGTGAATGCATTAGCAGCTCTACTCTGTGAAGTTCCTACCGTTTTGAGTACTTTCCTTCACAACTTTGTTTGCGTAAGCCCTTTTTTGGCACTAGTAACTCACAGCCTTCGTCTAAAAACACACAATTTTCTATGATGATGATTAGGCTGCTATGAATTCTGATGGTAAAGTTGGGTGGGAAGAACTTGTTGATTCCCGTCTCGACAGAAATTTCGATGTTCAAGAGCTGAACGAAGTTGCAGCTCTTGCATACAAATGCGTTAACCATGTCCAGAAAAAGCGACCTTCAATGAGAGACAATGTACAAGTTTTGTCCCGAATCCTAAAACAAAGGAAGAACAACAGACGTAACCTAAATACGGAGTCAACAACAACGGATGAAGTCGCCATTGATATTGATCAACTACACCTGAATCATGTGAAGTATAGAAAATGGTTCTTGGTTCATTTCTTTTATTCTTCTTTATATTGACAGTGCTTTTCTCAACATACCAAGAAAGAAAATTAGCCGAAGTTAACAAGAATGTAATATAGTTATTATTTTTTTTTTAATTCCTTTTGATGTTTGTTAATTGAGGCATCGCCAATGAAAGTAGAAGAAATTTTTTTTTGTTCATTACTTTTTCTGCTGCTATCATTTTTTCGAATGAACAAAAGACTTGATACAATCGAATTTAACCTCAATTTAGATTTTTATACGATAATTTAAGTAAGATGAACGATTTAATTTGATACTAATTGCAACATATTCAGTAAATGAGATACTAAACGGTCATGATTGTTAAAAAAAAGATCAAATTACAACAAAAATCATAAATCAATCTTAAAAAACTTATATATTATGCTCATAAATTTTGTACTACACATTGAACAACAATGACAATACATTCTTAATAAAATTTCAACATTTAATGTAAAAAATTACAAATTTTATCAAATAATAAATTCCAATTAAAAATAAATCAAAGTATAAATTTTGTTTTTTTTTTTTTTATTATAATTTTAATTTAAGTAACATTAACTTTTTAATAAAAATAAATAAATTTGAATTAGACTAATTTTAGACCATTGATAAATTAAATTAATTTTCGAATAATTGATTTAAACTCAAAAATAGATGGGGTTAGGGTTAGGCGTGTCGACTGGATTGTGGTATGGGTGTATGTACGGTGAATGAATTTTACTCTAGATTCGGTAATACGGCGCCGTTTAAAAGCGCAACGGCATCTTCTTCTATCCGTGCAGTCTGCGGTTGCATTATCCATTTGTAAAGCTCCCCCAATACTTCTCTCAGACGAGTCTGCGGCAGAAACAATGGCAGCCATGGTCTCGCTTCAGAGCTCCATGACCGCTCTTTCGCTCTCTTCCAGTTCCTTTCTTGGCCAGCGCCTTCAGCCGTCCACTATTTTCGCTGCGCCCGTACAATTTCTACTCTCCCTTTCGATTCTAATTGCTTTCTCATTCTCCTTCATTTTACGCGGTTTTCTCTTCTTTTTGCCTCTCAATTTTATTCTTCTGTGCAATTATGCTTCAAAATGTATTGCTGGTCCCCTGGTTCGGTGAACTGTCGACTGAAATTTAGCCGGTAGATGAACTTCTTAGCTCTATAAATCGTTTTTGCCTGTGATTTTTTAGTTTTAATTTTGCTCTGTAACTTATTTGTTCATCTTGACATCTGAGCTGTGTCCTGCATCACCAACATGGAAACGTCGAGCGTTTCTTTTCTAGTTGTACATTTTCCCTTTCTGTTTGGAAATGATGATGATTTGATTTCTTGATTCTGATTTCTCTCCTGAAATTAGATCTTCAGTGTCATCAGGCAACCATTGCCTGAGCTTCTCATTCATAAATCTTTTGTTTTCCCCTCTTGTTTTGGTTGTCTTAACAGACATTTAGCATTTTGATATTATTTGGTATACTATCTGTAAGTAGCCGTATATAAATCCAAGTACATTTGCACTGCGTTCCAAAGAAGTATTTGGACAAAAAATAGATCAAACTTCAAAGTTTCTGTCAAATTTTTCCCCCAAACCTTGGTAATTAAAGAATACTTCCCAGATGTTCTGTGGCTTTCAAGCTAACAAATTTTATCAGTTATTGTTTATATTTGAGCTTGTTTTGCATTATATCGTGTTGAAGTAATTGGTAGGATGGTTTGTCTCTAAGCATCTCTTGATTAACTTGCAGGTAACATCGAAAGAGAAGCCATGTCTCATAGTAATGAAGGTTAGTATTCTTGCCTTTTCATGATTTCGTCCTTTCAACACGCTTAAATTTAATAGAAGATCAAGTATGTTTACCATGAGTATATCTGGGGGAAAAAACGAGACGTGAAACAGGAATATGTTGAATGGTAGACTTGCTGAGAGAATGATATGCATACTGCTACCTTGTGATATTATAAATGTATTGTGATCTAACCCTTTTGAAGTCCCTTTTAATAACCGTCATTTAATACAGGTTTAACCAATTTTCCATCAAAGATGTTAATTTAGAATACACTAGATGCAATTTTCGCAATTTGATGAAGCACTATCAAATGCTTCTTTGATATAGGAAGTTTTTTTTCACCATAAAAAGTCACTGTTTTTATAGTTAAAAGTACCTCCAAACATTCTATTAGATAGTGCTTCACTCAAAAATATCATTTCCAAAAGTCTCTCCAAATCCACCCAAGTATCAATGGTAGGTTTTATAATGATTCTATAATTGTTCTTATGGCTAATGGTTCTTTTCAGCAATGGTCATCTAAATCTTCTCTCTTCTAAATGAACTCTGCCACAAAAGTAATTAGAATGATATGCTCGGTGTTTCAGTTCTTGCATTTCTCGTTGGAATGGGATCAAAGTCTACTGTTTTCCCCATATATTTACCTATTTTTGCATTTTCTTTTCCTTATTGGCAGCTCAAAAGATGGGAACGGAAGGAGTGTAAGCCAAACAGCCTTCCTGTATTACACAAAATGCATGTCAGGGTTGGAGACACAGTGAAAGTTATAGCTGGCCGTGATAAGGGAAAAATTGGAGAAATCACAAAAATTTTCAAACATAATAGCAAGGTGACAGTGAAAGAAATAAATTTGAAGACAAAGCATGTAAAGAGCAGAGAGGAGGAAGAAAAAGGACAGATTATTAAGGTTTGTGTCTGTTCTTTGTAACAAATTCAAATCATCAACTATTGTCTATACAAAATGAAAATTTATGAATGGTCAGTTTTTCATCAACCCAGAAACTTTTAGACCCTCCAAGAAATTGAAGTCCGTTTGGTGGTGTGGTTTATTTTTCATTTCCTCCGTCCGTTTGGTGGTGTGGTTTATTTTTCATTTCCTCCGTCCGTTTGGTGGTGTGATTCTATATTTGATTGTTTCTTCATTGTCTCATGTTTAACAGATTAGTTTCACCGCGTAGTCTAATTTCTTGTTATGAACTTACATACCTCTTGGTGCTCTGATATTTCAGGTCGAAGCACCCATCCACAGCTCCAATGTGATGCTTTACTCGAAAGAAAAGGATGTAGCAAGCCGGGTCGGTCACAAGACCCTTGAAAATGGAAAACGAGTACGATATCTCATAAAAACTGGGGAAATAATTGACAGCACTGACAATTGGAAGAAACTCAAGGAGGAGAAGAGCAAAACTGAAGTGGCTACTACTGCTTAAGAGTCCTCTTTCAACTGTACGTATCACTGATGTAGTTATGTATCTCAAAGGGTATTTCAGTAGCCCATATTCCTATTTCAGCAAACATTTTTGTTGCGGTCTGTTGTTCATTGATGCCTAATAGTTGAGATATTGATTTGGTTGTTCATTGTTTATCTATAATTTATAACATATTCCCTTGGTTGAATTGTTGGAATCTCGCTAATACATATTCAACTCTAAATTTTTAGTAGGTTGATATGAGAGGGATTTTGCACATATTTTATGAGGAAAGTCAGGGCTGATTTAGACCGAAAAGTTGGAACTCCGATGAACGTCAAGAACCTCTTTTTTTTTTTTTTTTAAGTTTTAGTTTTTGACGATAATATAGACTCGATTATTTCTTGTTGTGATTGACTACAAATTATGTGAAAATACCTTAGTAAAGATGGATTAAAAAGTCTACCGTTGTCGTTAAGAAACTAAATTAATTCGAATTATGTAGAGAAAGTTATGAACAAAGAAGAGAAACTGATCAAAAAACTAGTTTAGAAATCTTGAAATTTTGACGATTGAGTCTAATGCGCAGGTGACAACACGCGAGAGAGAGATTTCATAAACTTTGGAGCTCCTAACACATAAAAACTATCTTAGTTAGGCATGCGTCATCCATGTAAATAACCTGTGATGTCCTACATCGTTTGGGGAGGAGAATGTCCTACATCGTTTGGGGAGGAGAATGAAACACCTTTTATAAGGATGGGGAAACCTCTCCGTACCTTTTTATAAGGGTGGGGAAACCTCTCCGTACCTTTTTATAAGGGTGTAGAAACCTCTCCATAGGAGACGCATTTTAAAGTCTTGAGAGGAGTAGACGCATTTTTAAAGTCTTGAGGGGAGTAGACGCATTTTAAGTCTTGAGGGGAAGCTTGAAAGGGAAAACACAAGGAGGACAATATTTGTTAGCGATAAACTTGGGCCGTTACAAATGTTGTACTATGTTATGGTAAAATTACTATTATGCCCCTAAGTTGAGGTTTTCGAGAACCATGTTGTTTTATGTATTAAACAAGGCTAGAAAGAAAATATGCATGACAAGAATAAGATTCAGGCAATATGGATAATGTGGTGTGCATGATGTAAGAAATTACAAAAATGTCTCTATGAGATTTGTGATGAATGATGTTTTACATGCTTTCTGTTGTGTTGGAAAGGAGTATGAGCTATTGTGACCTATGCTCCAAGTAATTGACGGATGTTATCTCTTTGTTGAGCTTGTTTTCTTGTACGTGTGCATGATACAAGTATGTGTTAGCTCTATTCCAAATGTTCCTCTATATCCTCAAGCATCCTTAGTGATATCAATTTCCTCTCAACATTAGAAACATCCTCACATTCCGTTGGCGTTCTACTGATCCGTCCTTTAATATTAGTGAAACGGACCAGATTACAACAACTTTACGAGCATTGGTCTTTCCCATGTTGAACATTTCTCCATCTCCATCTTTAATGATATCAAGAACTGCATGGTTCTTGGCTTGCCTAGCTACTTTCATTCTTGAAATTCAAGAACAGATGTTTGATTGAAAAATTGATGGCTGTGATACCAATGCTCGAGTGCAATTAAATGTGTCGGGCAAATAGTAATGATTAATACACAGATAGAGACATCCAACAAAACCCTCTCGAAATAAAGAAACAAAATTGTTAATGTTGAAGAAGACATGAGAGAGATCATGCGAAGACACGAGAAGAAGAAGAAGAAGAAAACAAAGAAAGTACAATTATTTCAGCAATTAAATTGGTTGAATTGGAAGGGTGGAAGGTGCATTTGGAAGTGGGGTTGGTAGGTTTGGGGCCGGCTGGTTACATACGCCTGATGGCTTTCCAATTCTGGTGGTGCAGTTGCAGACATCATTCAATATAATTACAGCAAGCAGCCATATATTATATATATA